CAAGAGTCAAGATGTTTCTCCTGATATTTTGAGAAAGATATCCCTAGGGACACAGTAGGCATGTACGAACCCGAACCGTCCGGGTTCGGTACATACTTAGTGCGTTCCTAGTGATATGTCTTCAAAAATGTCAAGAGAATCATTTGGAAGTCGGACGCTGTCATAGTTTGGTCATCTCCTCCCGAACCCGAACGCATACTGTTCAGTACCAAATGCAGAACTTGCGTTCGGATTCGGTGCATGCGTTGTGAGAACTAACAGGTATGAACAAATGCAAGAGATACTCTCAGTATTAATTTTATCCATATCTACATCTTTCCCTATTTCAGATATAAGATTGTTTTTTATACTGCAACTAGCATCACTATTGACGAAATACACACTCTCAAATGGCCACTACGTCACGGGGTACGATTCCAGAAGAATATTTGGATCACGAATGTATACATTGTCATCGTTATGCGTTCAGACATGATGACAATACACAAAGAGCGGCACGATCAATAAAAATGCAAGATCGTGGTGTTGATAATAGTACGCCACAAAACAGGCCGTCACAAATTTTCCATCAAACCACATGGAACAGCAATACAAACTCTCACGAGTCAAGTGTTCATCAAGAAACAGATTGCATTAAAATTGTTTGTATTGCAGATACACATAATGGTCATCGCGATCCTGGCTTTAATCAGAAACTTCGACAGATATGTGGAGATATTTTGATTCATGCTGGCGACTTCAGCAACAGAGGAACAATATCAGAGATCACAGATGTTTTCGATTGGTTATCTAAATTGGATAACTTCAAATATAAAGTCGTTATCGCCGGTAATATGGATGGTATTGGTTTAGATAAGGGCGATCGTCATAACGCAGACTACATGCGCCAATATTTTAGGGGGTTTCCCGAAAATATTATTTATTTAGAAAATAATATGAAGAATGTTCTAGGAATTAATATCTATGGTTGTCCATACACACCACAATTTTATGGCGGTTTTCAATATATACCAAAATCATTACAAGCAACACGACTATGGAATCAAATTCCAGAGGATTGTGATATTCTAGTTTCACATGGACCACCTTCTGATGTTCTCGATAAAACTTCAAAAGGTAAAGAGACTACGAAATGATTCTTTGAATAATTTTTGTTTTTTTGAAAAACAAAGATTCACTTGCGAACGATGAACTATGAGGACTGAGTAGTGCCTATTGAGACAGATCAATCGATACATAAATGACAACTGGCATTTTAATAATGAATAGAAACTATAGCCGAATTGAGTGGAGTAGTTTTTGATAGATTAAAAACTGCATAGAAATTCATTGCAATAGACAATATCCTAATCCTGTTATAGTCACAAAATATGAAATTTTTCGCATTTTTCTTAGAAATCTTAAATAAAATACAAATTTTGGTATCGATGAAAAAGAAAAATTGGATGCAGTTTCTATTTATGCAGTAATTATGTCACGATTGTTCAAAAGAATAAAGATAAAGTATATCGTGTATGTTTTTAGTTGCCTGTAATTCGAAATAATTCACTTAGAGTTGACGTTTATGTAGCATTTCTAATCTAGTCTATCACCGATCTACTTCTTTATGATATCATTCAATATGTATTTTGTGAAACACAACCTAAAAGGAGTGTTGAAGTATATAGGGTAGAAATTTGGACCACCCCCGCCTCCACCCACAGGCCGTTCCAGAGAAATTAATTAATTAGATAATTGGTTAATCAATTAATCAATTAATTAATGCCTCTGTAACGGTTTCTGAGGTCTCTGAAACAGTCTGTGATTGTCTCTACCGACTCCATAGATAATAATACAGAACATGACCGAAAGGCTCTATGTATGATTACAGACAGTGGCAGAAAAGCTGGAAAGCCTCACAGACCGTGGTAGACTGGTTCCAGCAAAGAAGTTTCATCGTGTTCACATTTTAATCCCACAGGAGTTGCGCTAACAGCTTTTCTGTATAACATAGGTCAACATGTTGGCTGTAACGTTTTGCGACAAGCAATCCAACAAAGACCACGTTTGAAAGCTGTTGTTTTTGGTCACATTCATCATTCCTTTGGCTGCCAATTGATAGAAAATAAATGGTTTATTAACGCGGCACAGTATAATGGCATCTTCCATCGTGATCGTGAAAATCAACCATTTGAAATTATGATGAGACGTGATGATAAAAAGATTGCAAATGTAAGTGCAGCCCGCTCCACGATGCCCGAAAAACCCCTACTAACAACCACTTTTCATGCAACTCCATATGGATCGAATTGCGATGCATGTTTATATAGAGCAACATCCCACTGAAGGATACAAAAAAAATTTTACAAACATACACAGAGTGAATAATATTTACCGTTATTTTTTCTAATATAATTCTGAAAGTTCAACAAATATGATCACAATTTATCAGTGTACAAGTAACACTCGTCTGCGAGACTCGCTTGACCCTCGACTGAATATTTGACAGCTTCGATATTTTTGTGGTTACACACCACTGTCGTAACCTAGAGACTTACATATGTAGCTGATTGTGTGAGTGTAGGGATGTGCAGTGTCGGTATAAACACTGAAAAACTGACCACTGAGTACACCGACGGTATATCTAGTGGAGCACCGACTACACTGCCGCCGACGTCACTGACACCGACTTCACCGACTACG